CGGAGCAGGGAGCCCGATGCAGGGCTCGATCCCAGGACCCTGGGATCATGACCTGAGCCGAAGGCGGACGCTTAACTGACTGAGCCACCCAGGTGCCCCATTTTAGAACATTTTTTGCCAGCTCCAAAGAAACCCATTAGCAATTGCCCCCCATTCCCTCCCCCAAGTCTCCCCTTCCCCATCCTTAGGCAGTCACTCACGTGCCTTCTGTCTCTATAGATTTGCCTTCTCTGGACATTTCATATAAATGGAATCATTCAATATATGGTCTTTTTTGGTCAGTTTCTTTCACTCACCATGATGATTTTAAGGTTCACCCAAGTGTTGGATTCTTTACTCCTTTCTGTGGCTGCTTAGCATTCCCTGTGTGGATACATTTTGTTTATCCATTCATTAGTTGCTGAACATTTAGGTTGTTTCCCTAATTTGGCTATTATGAATAATACTTCTATGAACATATGTATACAAGTTTTTATGTGGATGTTTTCATTTCTCTTGGGTGTATACCCAGGAGTGGAATTGCTGGATCATATGGTAATTCTGTGGTTAACTTTTTGAGGAACCGCCAGACTATTTTCCAAAGTGGTTGTACCATTTTACATTCCTAGCAACAGTGTATGAGGGTTTCCGTTTCTCTGTACCCTTGCCAACATTTGTTATTTTCTGTTTTTTTTTTTTAAATTATTATATCCATCCTAGTGGGTGTGGCTTTGACTTGCATTTCCCTAATGACTAATGATGTTGAGTATCTTTTCATGTGCTTACTGGTCATGAGTATATCTTCTTTAGAGACATGTCTATTCAAGTCCACTCAAGCCCTTTGCCCAGTTTTTGTTTGAGTTATTTGTCATTTTATTGTTAAGTTGTCTACGTTCTTTATAGAGTCCCTTATCAGCTATACGATTTGCAAAACTTTTCTCCCATTCTGTGGATGATCTCTCCACTCTCTTGTTGGCGTCCTTTGAAGCACAAGTGTTTAGTTTTGATGGTGCCTCATTTATCTGTTCTTTTGGTGTCATATCTAAGAAGGCTTTGCCTGCCCCACATCACAAAGATTTTCTCCTGTGTTGTTTTCTAAGAGTTAGATAATGTTTTACTTTCATATTTAAGTCTTTGATCCATTTTTAGTTATTTTTTGTGACTACTTGTAAGGATAGGATTCAGTTTCATTCTTTGGCATGTGTATATTTACTTGTCCCGGCACCGTTTGTTGAAAAGATTATGCTCTCCCCATTGAATTATCTTGGCGCCCTTGTCCTAATCAATGGCTGTAAACATCAGGGTTCATTTCTGGACTCTCAAATCTATTCCATTGATCTGTGTCCCTCCCAGTGCTGATACCAACTGCCTTGATTACTGTAGCTTCATAGCAAGTTTTGAATTCAGGAAGTGTGGTTCCTTCAACTTTGTTCCTCTTTTTTCAAGACTGTTTTGGCTATTTTGGGTCCCTTGGATTTCCATATGAACTTTAGCATGCACTTGTTAATTTCTTCAAAGAAGCCACTAGGAATTTGATAGGTTGGTTTGAGTCTGTAGAGCCATTTGGGGAGTATTGCCGTCTTAGCAATTTTAAATCCTCTGATCTATGAACACAGAATATCTTCCCATTTTTTTTAGATCTTTAATTTCTTTCAGTGTGTTTTATTTTTCAGTGTACGGGTCATGTGCTTCTTTTATTAAGTTTATTCCCAAGTATTTTATTCTTTTTGATGTTCTTTATAGATGGACTTGTTTTCTTAATTTCATCTTTGGATCTTTCATTGCTAAGTGCACAAAAGTACTATTGACTTTTGTATTTTAAAATCTTGCTGAACTTTTTCTTGACTCTTTTTGCATGTCTTTGTATATCTAGAGCTTCCCCTTACTTTGTAATAGTCACACAACAGTGCATGGTATAGAGAGCTATAATTAATTTAACAAACCTCCACTGATAGACATTTTGGGTTGCTAGCATTTTTTTTTTTTTTTGCTGTTATTGATCATGCTAAGAACATTCTTTGGGCCACTCAACCATTCTGGGCGTGTGTATCAAGTGCCCACTCTATGCCATGCACTCTGAGGCACTGGGGATACAGACAGTAAAAGAGTAAAAGAGGTTTCAGCTTGGGAAAATCTCTGTATGGAGAATAAAGCAGAGAGATGTGCTAGGGAGTAACAGATGTGCATTTGAGAGGAATTCTTTGAATTGAGGAGCCTGAGAAGATTTCTCCAGATTTCTCTTGAGTCAGGATCCAACTGATGAAAGAGAACCCACTGTTGGAAGATTGGGAAGATTGTTCCAGGCACAGGGAATAGCAAGTACAAAGGCCCTGGGGTAGAAATGGGCTCCCCGTGTTCACCAAACAGAAAGCAAGCCAGTGGGCCTGGAGAGCTGCCAAGGCCAGAGGAGAAGTGGGCAGGGACCAGACTAAAGCCGGCCTTGTAGCCTGAAAAGCCTTTTGCATTTTATTACTAATGTGGAGAGAAGCTGCCAGGGGGTGGGGGGGGGGTTAAGCAGGGGAATGATCGGATCTACTTTATGTTCTAAAAAAGATCACTCCAGTTGCTTAAGGAGCATGTATTTTCCCTGCCTTATTTCAAACACTGAGTTCATCAAAGTGTAATTACTGGGCCGACAGGTTTGTATATTTAAAATGTTCTAGATGCTGCTGCTAAGTGTACCTCCCCAAAAGATAGCTGTACTTTTCACTCCAAGGGCTTTAGCTCTTTTTGTCACCAGGGGCATTCAGGGTGAGGTGCACCTCGAGCTCTCACCCCCTTGGCCCCGGCACCCACCATCTTGCTTCCCTTATAGGACCCGCACCGCTGTGTTTGCCCTGCAGCTCTGGTTCTGCTGCCCACCCCTTGGGTAACACGGGCACCCCGGGAACATGGCAGACGAAGACCTCATTTTCCGCCTGGAAGGTGTTGATGGCGGCCAGACCCCCCGGGCTGGTCACGACGGCGAGTCCGAGGCCGACAGTGACGATGAGGAAGGTTACTTCATCTGCCCCATCACTGATGACCCCAGGTCACACCCGAATGTCAATTCCAAGGTTAATAACTACTACAGCAACCTAACGAAGAGTGAGCAGTATGGCTCCAGCGGGTCCCCCGCAAGCTCCTTCCATTTTAAGGTGAGTGGACCACCCAGCTCCCCCCTCACCCCCCGCCGACCTGCTGCAAAGGATGGGGGAGCTGGGATCACTGGTTGGGGTCTTCCCTGTGTTTCCAAACCCTGGGCAGCACTCTAAATTCTGGATTGGAAGATATGCCTGTTAAGCTGGGAGGATTTTGATGGCTTAAAACAAGTTTCATTACTTTAGAACAGGTGTTTTTGAAATAGCTGCTGAGGACCCACTACTGGGTTGTGAAAACCTTAACCAACTTTTTAAAAAATGCAGCAGAACAGAATAGACTAGGAAATATGGGAGACCACTGCAAATTGTAAAGATCTTATTTTTTTAAAATATTTTGTTTATTTATTTGAGAGAGAATGAGAGAGAGAGAGCATGAGAGGGGGGAGGGTCAGAAGGAGAAGCAGACTCCCCGCTCAGCGGGGAGCCTGATGTGGGACTCCAGGATCATGACCTGAGCCGAAGGCAGTTGCCCAACCAACTGAGCCACCCAGGCACCTGTAAAGATCTTATTTTTTGGAACATGTGCTCACACACGTTCACACACATAAATGTGGTGACCCAGTTGGTGGATGAGGGCCAGGCTCTAATCATGTAAATACTTGCATTTCACCCCTGATGTATGTGTCTGTGGGTCCAGGGACGTGATGTAAAATGTAGTTCTTCATGTTGGGTGTGATCAAAAAAGCCCCTGCCTTAATATAACACTGTATGTAAACTGGAATTAAAATTAAAATCTTTTTTTTTTAAGATTTTATTTATTTATTTGAGAGAGAGAGAATGAGAGAGAGAGAACACATGAGAGGGGATAGGGTCAGAGGGTGAAGCAGACTCCCTGCCGAGCAGGGAGCCCGATGCGGGACTTGATCCAGGGACTCCACGATCATGACCTGAGCTGAAGGCAATCACTTAACCAGCTGAGCCACCCAGGTGCCCTAAAATTAAAATCTTAATTAAAACAATTAAAAAAACAACAACATTTCTTGGAGTTGGGCATCCTTCTGAATTGAAGAAAAGGGTACTTATTTTGTTAGGGATTTGTATTCATACTACGGTAAAGCTGGTATAAAGGAGGGGGGAAAGATGAACATTATTGGGCTTTTGAATCATAACTGGTGATGAAAAAAATTTCATTTATTTAGTTAGTAGTAATCTGTATGCCCAACATGGGGCTCAAACTCATAACCCCAAGATCAAGAGTCACGTGCTCTTCCAACTGAGCCAGATAGGCGCCTTGAAAAAAATTTTAAATGCAGTAACGTTATCCTTATTTAATTTGATGCCCACCAACAGAAGATATCTGTTAGTACTATAAGCAAAATGCACGTTACCACTTTGGGATTGGGAATTGGAGCCATTCTTCTCTAACTTCAGAATTAATCTGTTTTTAGAAAATTAATAATTCTAGTTCTTGGACAGTTGGGTATTTTCTTCCTGTCAGAGCCAGAGTTCTAGATTAAATCTCTGTGGGGCAGGCAGCTCCAGAAACAGCCCTGTGGGTCCGCTGTGAGGTTGGGAGGCCCCTGCAGGATCAGGTGGCGGCTTGTCTCGCTTTCGTGTCCTCAGCCAGCCTCTGAGACTCACGCCCGGCCCTGGGGAGGGCAGCGTGGCAAGGGCTGGGAGCAGCCTGGCGCGCCTATGTTCACTGTGGGTCAGGGCGGCTTGAGGAGACGCGGATCCCTGAGGCATCCTGTACCTGGTATGAGGGAATCTGGGTGCCAATGGGGGCTGGAGGGCCCAGGGCTCATGAAACAGAAGCTAGCTCACCCCAGCTCCAGGGAAGAAGGGTATTTATTTCTTGGGACCCAGGGGGAGAAAGAACGTCTGGTCTCTCAGGGGACAGGTCTAGGAACCGGAAGGCAGCAGGACTGTCTCTCTCTGTCTCTCTTTACCTGTCCTTTGTTCCCCTCTGCCTCAGTCTACACAGTGGGAAAATGGACTCCTGCTGGCCCCAGCGCCGCCTCATTACTGCCCTCTCCATCCCAGTTGCAAGCAGGGGGGCGAATATCTGGTTGGCCCAGCCTGGGTCAGGCGTCCTCTCTCTGACCCAGTCCTTTGTGACCCCGGGTGTGAGATTGGGAGGGTCGGTGTCACAGAAGAGGGACTACTTCCAGGGAAGGAGGATCCTGGTGGCCTCCCAGGGGGGGCAGACCCCGCAGCTGCCTCTCCAGAGGAACTGTGACCCCGGTTGGGGCTTTGTGGAAGACACTGGGAGGGCCCAGGAGCTGAAGGGTCTCAGACCCAGATGGCCAGTCCCTGACCACAAAATGTGACCACAGTGAAGCCTTTAAAGGAAGCGCTGACTGAGCGTTCCAGTGAATGGAGGTTTGCCTACAGGTGTGGCTTTCGGATGTGAGCCTCATGAGGGCAGGACACAGTGGCCTCTATCACTCATCCCCAGGGGCCATGCTCTGCACACAGTAGGTGCTTCATTCAGAATCAGGGAGTGCTGAACTCACTGTGGGTGCCCTCTTGCCAAAGGACAGTATTTATGTAAAACATAAATCCTAGTGGGCCATTTGACAGTAGTTACTAAAATAAAAAATACAGAGCTCAGATGGCAATTTGATCTCCAGAGAATCCTTCTCAGCCAAAGTGTTCCCGCTGGGGGTACTATTGGCATCCGGGACGGGACAATTCTTTATTGGGTGGACCTGTCCCTTATATTGTAGGATATTCAGCATCTCCGACCCCTGCCCACTAAGTGCCATATTTCTCCCCTGTTCCTTATGGCAAGCCAGAATGTTCCCTGCCATGTATTTGCTAAGCCCACCTCAGTTTAAATCCAGTACCGAAGTATTTGTACAAGTGTTCAAATTTACATATTTAAAGATATACTCTGCAGTATTGTTTGTAATAAAGAAAAAATGG